ATTACCATAAATATAAAAGAATTTTATTGAATTTTAATAAGTATTTATTTGTGATGTTCACTAATGTTATATTTATCCGACTTGATCTCAATATCATCTAATATGGTAGTTGGAATGCAACGATGAAAACAGTATTTTTTAACAGCATACTCTGCTGCCTTTCCAGTTAAGCCATTTTTATAAGCACTCATATACTGTTGTGATTTCCTTGCAAATCTACAAATAGTACTAATATCAACATTATTTAAAGCCTCCAGAATTCTCTCCAAAAGATCTTTCCAGGTATAATCACATTTCTCTCGTATATACCTTTTACATACCCCCCAATACATTTCTATATAGTTTAATTCACAATGATATTTCAGATAAAATAATACCTTATGTCCAGCAGCTTCAATTATTTCTTGAATCCATGATTTCTGGATTAGAAAATCAGGTTGTTGACTCATGATTCGTTGTGCACAACAATTTAAACAATTTTCATCATTAATGCCATTCTTGCAATCTTTACAATTAAGCAAAAGACCTTTTTCCATAATTTATGTTCCTCCAAGACCATTTTGATTTCTTTTGGTCTGCTATCTGGAAGTGTCATTGTTTGGGGCTGTCCATTGAATATAATATCTCTAATTTTATAGCTTCCACCTGATTTTAAATTCATAACATTTGCTCGTAAGGCATCTTCAGCATATTTATTATGGCTTGTTGTATTATTAAAGCAAGCTACCATTATGCATTCAGGATGAGTAGCCTCGAATAGAGGAATAAGTTTTTCTTTCACTTGTTTTACTAACTTTTCTATGTTCCACCATTCCTCATTACTAGTACCGGAAACTAGATCTTCTCTTACAGTTTTTGGTAAATGCAGGTATTGTTTTTGTTCTTCAGGTGTTAGTTGCAATTGCTCAATCATTTCTGTCAAGAAGTGACTTACATGATATCCTTTGCCTTGTCCTTTTTTTTGAAATTGCTGCTTTCCGTTTTCAACCCATTGAAACTTGGGAGCATCATATGCATAAAATATTGATTCGTTATGAGTTACTAATATATGAAGTTTTTCTTTGAATAAAAGTTCTGGATCTTTTCGACTTTCAAGATTATTACTCTCAAATGTTGACATTAACCATTCCAAACTTTCTAATTCTTTCAGAAAATTTTTTTTATATATAATAACATCAGGATGCTCATGTCCATCAACATAAACACCTTTTTGGCATTGCTTCCAGGACTATACATAATCATGCAAAAATTTATTTATGGTACTTTCACTTACTTTATTTTCAATATCACAACCAAAAGAAGGTAATACAATTGTATTAATGTAATAACGAAGTTTTTTTATTGTAAGATATTCATTTTTCGATAATGTATGGATATAACTTAGAATTTGGAATATTCTTATTACGAATCCATTGAGTTGCCCATGATCGAATAAGCCTTGCTGACCAAGATTTCCATACCAAGCCTTGTTGTACAATTTCGCTTGTTTTAGTTGGCTGGTAACCATTAATAAGGTATCGTATATACTGCTGAACAGCCTCAATTCGTGCCTTTGTGCCTTTTTCTAAATCCTTTTTATTTGCAGTATTTGTTAATGTTATTTGTATTTCAGGCCAATTGAGTTCTTTTTCATATTCGGCATTATCCATTTGTTTACTTTTATTTTCAGCCATATTTTTAGCAGTTTTTCGAAGTATAGCATTTTTTCATCGTATAGTTTGTGCTGAGTTATCCAAGTATCATTGTAGATGATTAGAGACATGTACATCTAAGTTCTTAATGTTTGTTTGTTGTTGAAGTTGTTGTTGTGGCACAAAACTGGTTTGAACTGGCACGGTTTTTGTTTTGATTTTTACGCAAAATCTGATTGGATGATTGGAGAGCACTGATTATCTGGAGGTGTAAACTGATTTCAGTTTTTTGTTTGAAAAATTTTTGAACTTTTGAAGTGGCGCAGCAAATATTACTGCAAAAATATTGTGTGTAAGGGTTGACTTGAAACAAACAGTAGACCCACTAACTCTGTTTGAGTGTATATTTTGGAAAGTATAAGATTTAGCGAATATGATAGTAATAATGTAGATGGTTTTTATGATATAATAAGGATAAGAAGAGATGCAAGAGAACTGAAGAAAAGAGAACCGCCACAGGCCTTTCCTCATGCAACTGAAGAATAAGCAAGACTTCCAAACTTGAATAGATTTCGATCAGAGGTCCCATCCCATTGCACCAGTTGTCTTGAAGGTTCTTGAGTTCTTAAGCTAGAGCTCACTTGCAATAAAAAGTATAAAATATTTTTTCTTGTTTAAAATTACCATAAAAGGAAAATTTTTAACAAAACAGATGTGATTAGGAGTGAGTTTTTTTAAGTACTGTATATATTTATAGCTATTTAATATTATTGTTAATATATAATAGTTTTAATATTTTATTTATTTTATTTATTTATTTATTTAATTTGAAGAAATAAGCAATTCCCATATACTATTATATTTTATTTATTTTATTTATTTATTTATTTATTTTGAAAGAATAAGCAATTCCCATATATTATTATATATTATAATTTTAAACTTACAGTTATAAGATTCATAACTCATAATGTAGTATATATCTTTCTTTGCTAGAAAGAATTTAATACAAGATTCATAATTGCAACTTATCTACTTAAGCTCTTTAGCACTATCCAAAAGTATAAAAAAGAAAAATTCAAAATATATATTATATCTTGAATAGTATTTAACTATTTTAAAAGTTGGATTACTTAATTATATGAAGGCACTGCAGTTGAAGATAGGTTCCTAGTATATAAAATTTTGCAAATCAATTATGTCTCTTTTGAAGAGACATAATTATTTATTTATTATTTTAATAAAAATATAATTCAAAAAACATTTAAATCAAGTGGCTTAAATTGCCAAAACTTTTGTAGGTGTTTTTTTTTTATCTTATATTTAAAAAAAAAACCTTTTTAATAGTAAGGGATATTTTAATTATATCCTTGCCTTTAATTTAAAAACCTATCTTTAACTACAGTTAATATATATAAATTAATCTCAAGTTATAACTAGAATTGATATACTTGTTTTTCAAATATGACTTGATGTATAACGAGAGAAACTATTTATTTTATTTTTATTTTTTTAAATTGAGTAGCATTAAATATAAATCTTTTATTGATATACAATTTATATATTATATCAAATATTCTTTGTAATATATAACTACAACTAAATGCTAGTCTATTAATTTTATATATCTAATATTCAAAAACCTGTCACTTAATAACTTTTCTTTGTAATATTAGAGAACTATAGAAGATACAAATTCTATTACTAGTTTTAAACTATCTAACTTATAGGATTTAGTTTTTCTTATAAATCATATATTGTTTTTTTTTTTTTTGTAGGTAAACATCATTTCTTTATTTGATTTGTATATAGCAGGGTATACATTGTAAAAGAAACAACAACTCTCATATGTTGGTACAATGAGTTAAATTCTAGCTTGCCTACAGTAACCATATGACTAATATTGAAAAAAAAATTTAAAACAATATATTTTGCTGGATGGCATAAATTATACAGTATATTGTTAATTAATAGTACTATTTTTATATTCTTATTTTACAGTATTATATTACTTTATTATTTCTATTATTAGTTATTTAGTATATATAGCATGTCTAGTATATCAGGTAAATATGATATTTCTGCTGGATATGACTAATGTGCTAGATCAGCTTAATCAATTAGAGCAGTCTGAACAAGCATATCAGGTATATATAACAGAACTGATATATTTTATCTGTTGTTTATTTTTATTTTTTTTATATTTCCAACATATATAAATAGGACAGCTGTTCTTTTAAACTGTTTAAGAAATTTTCTAACTCTTCTCTATTTTCTCTAATAAAAATTATTTTAAATTTATAACCAAATTATCATGTTTCTTGCCTTGAAAATAAATTTTACCTAATTTCTTCACCTTATTAACACTAGTATATTACTATTGAAACTATTTTATTCTAAATTAAGTAGTTCCCTGTTATTGTTATTTGTTGATCTGTTTAATTTTAAGATTTATTAAATAGATTAATAATATAAATTATAAATCATTTTATAATTAATAAATTAAAATATTTATTTATTTTTTGGAGGAGTTTTCCCAGTAAATAAATATCATCTCTTTATTCGTTATCATATATTGAAAGTATATATTGAGAAAGAAACAATATCTTTTGAACATATATTATATATAACAAGTTAAATATTAGCTTTCCTATTTGATTACTATCTAACTAATATTGTAAAAAATTCCAAAAGCAATACTAAAATATCTAATAGTGAAGTAGTGGCTATGTCTATCTACTTGACAAAATTATGTGAAATCTTTTAATTTTTTGAATATAAAGTAAATGAAAAGAAAATAATAAATATAACTAAAACTAAAAACTAAATCAAATAAACTATAGAATTTATAAGTAGAAATCCAATTATTTTTTCAAGAGAGCCTCCAAACTGATACATAGTCCCATCTTTCTAACTCTTTGGTTACTATAAATAGAATATATGTAATGTTGCTTGTTGTTGTAGTTGTTGTTGTAATACAAAACTGGTTTAAACATGTTCAGTTTTTGTTTTAATTTTTACACAAAATCTAATTGGATAATTGTAGAATACTGATTATCTGGAGGGAATAAACTGATTCAATTTTTTGGTTTAATAGAAATGTTATGAAAATTGTAATAGTATAGTAAGTATTATTAGGATATTGTGATTAAAGGTTAACTTAAAACAAACAGTAGATTTATTAATTCTGTTTAAGTATGTATTATGAACAGTATTTGACTTAGCAAGTATAATGGTAATAATGTATATAGTTTTTATGATAAAGCAAGAGTAAGAAAAAGAGCAAGAGAACAGAAGAATAAAGAACTACTATAGGTCTTTTCTTATGCAACCAAAGGATAAGCAAGATTTTCAAACTTGAATAGACTTAAATCAGAGGTTCCATTATACTATACCAGTTATCTTGAAGGTTCTTGGGTTCTTGAGCTGGGGCTCACTTGTGATAAAGAGTATAAAACATTTTTTCTTACTTAAAATTATCATAAAAAATTTTTTTAACAAAACAGACATGATCAAAAGAGAGTAAATTAAAATATTTATTTATTTAAAAAAATAAAAATAAAAATAAAAATATTAAATATTATTTTTTAATTTTAATTTTATATTAAAATTTAATATTTTTTTTAACATTATATAATTAGTAATTGTTATATAATAACAAATTTATTATTTTTTTTCTTGAATATATTAACTATTGTAACAGTAATTGGTGAGTCTGTTGCTAATGGAAAGTTAAATTCATATAATGATAATAAGTGTTTATGGTGAGGCAGAATTTATTATAGCTGAGAAATAATAACTTGTCTTCTTTTATTTAATACCCCTTTTTCTTTTATACATTTTTATAACCTTATTACATAATAAAAATAATAATTACAAATTAAGTAAGACTGAAAAATCTTATAACAAAATATTTGTTATTTGATTTTCATGCTACTTTTATTATATAATTCTACAGTATTAATTGATCTCATAGTATCATGTTCGATCTTCACACAACCTGATCACGTGAAGCTACTGTGATTATATCTTAAATTATATAATGATATTATATATTAAAAAAAATATTTCAAGTCGATCTGTTTCCGAAGTTGGAACACCGATATCATTCCTCTCTTTTCACCAAAGTAATATAAAATCAATTCCAAAAGTGATTAAAGTGAATATTATAATTTCTGATAGGGAGAAAGTCGTGATTCTTCTTTCTTTCTTCTTTTTCCAAGCTTATGTTCATTTCTATCACATTTATTGTACTTGCTACTGCAGTCTTTCTTCTCAACATTGTGAAGAAACCCAGAATTCAGTATAAGATGCATCACTCTTTTCTGTGTTACACTATACTATAAGTTCAAGAATATAAAAACTTTAGGAATTATTGTTGCATTGAAATAAAATCTCAGATTAAAGGTTAAGCAAGTTTGAAAGTTTTGTTTGCTTTTTGAATATATAGAAAATGATTTATAACAGATTATTTTTATAATTTTTTCTTTATATACTTTTTTTCTTTTAATAATTATAATTATAATTCTTATATTAATTCTTTATATTATAAATTCATTCTTAAAATTATATTAAAGCAAAGTTATTAGATCTTTTGCTTGTTTTAATTAAATTTTTTTAATATACAGTATAATGTTATATTATTCAAAAATCCCCAAAAATTTTTATAATACAAAAAACTAAATCAATTTTATCTCTTTAAATTATTAATACAAACTTATAACAAATTAAAATTTAACAAATATATTGTATAACAATTAAACTGGTTTAAACTTGTTTATTTTTTTCAATGTTAAAATAAAGTATTAATAAAGTAAAAGTTTAACTTATTACATGATAATATTAAAATATTAATTATATAACTATAAATATTAGCCTACCACTTATTAAACAAATATATTATTTGAAAAATACTTGAGCAGAAAAAACCCAAAGAACTATTTGTTGTAAAAAATAAAAAAACATTTGAGGCTAAATTGCTAACATTATAAGACATTTGAATAGAAAAAAAAATATTGAACTTTTGTTAAATATAATTCCTAAATGTAATTAGATATTTCAATTAAGTGTTAATACTATATAAGCCATATATAACTTGATGGGTTTGGTTATGTGTGATTTTATAGTATTGTTATTATATGATATTGTTATGTTATGATGTGAATAATAGAATAACTGAAATATATTCCAAATATCAATTATATTGTTTTGATAAGTTGTTATTTATTGTGATTACTGGAACTTGTACAGAACATTGATTACATGCTCTTCCAATCCAGCAAGTTGTTGTGTTATTTTGATATATAAAGGTAATATAAAATATAATTAATGTTTTATGTGTTGTAAATCATTTGATAAGAGTAAGTTAGTTATGATTTTTGTTTTAAAATTTGTGAATAAGGACTGGTAACTAGTCAGAAGATTATGTGAAATCTTGTACTAGTTATTATTTATCAGCAGAAAACAAAAAACTCTAAAAAATAAAATATGTCTTTTAAAAATAGAATTGTTTTTAAATTAAAAATGAAAGATGTATTTGTTTTGTAGCAGTTATATATAGAGATGGTCTTTATATAAAAAAATTTCTTTTTATTTGTCTTCTCTGTTTCAAATTATTGTCCAGTACTGTTACCAGTTACTAGACTTTTTAGTACAGGCCATTGTTAAAACCTCAAAGACCAATCTTATTCTTGAAATTCTACTGCTCTAAATTAGTTCACTAGTCTATGTCGCTTTCTAAAAAATATATTCTGTTAGACAAAGTTCCTTGGAAAAAGAAAACTTTTTAAAAAAGGAATTATTTATAAATGGAGATATTGTGGAAAAAAGTTTTTTTTTTTGGTTTAAACTTGTTTATAATAATAATATTATTATTATTTAATAAAAATATTATAACAGTTTTTTAATTAAAACATTTTACAATATTAATGTTACAATTATGTAAAAATATTGAGATTTTCATATATTTTATTTAGCTCTTAAATAGTTGCCATATAGTTTTATAAATTTAAGCAACAAATCCAAAACCTGATTAATTATTTTCAAATTAAAAACAGTTTTTATTATAGTTTTACAAATTCAAATTACAAGATATTGGTTTAAATTTAGATAAAAATAGTTAAATCAAATTTTTTAAACTTTTTTAATTTTTATTATTCTAATAAAAATTAAATAATAATACTTAGTTGAAAGAATAATAAAAAATGATTTTTACTGAATTTAATAAATTAATTGGTATTTTATTTATTTAAAATAGTATTATTTTTTGTTTTTATTTCTTCTTTTCTTATATTATACAAAAAATCAAATAAAATCTAATATATAGTATCTCCAATCAAGCAGATAAAATACATTCATAGTACTTAAGCATAATTAGTCTCTTGATTAAGAAACAACAAAATATATAAAATCGATTTCTAGAAGATTTATCAAATAGCTTTACTTTAAGATTTAGATAGATTAATATATAGAAGATATAGATAGCAAAATTACTTTGTAATCTGAAGTACATATACTATTTAGTAAACTCAATAAAATAATCTTTGGTAGTATTCTATTAAAAAATAAAACAAAATAAATGAATATAAATATAAATATGTTATTTATGTTATTTATAAATTTGTGTTTTAAAAATTATTAATAATTGATTTAAAATTTTTATATTTAAATTTAATTTAAACAAACAAATCAATTAAAAATAATATAAAATTTTTAGAAATAAAAATTCTAATTTTATATTTCATAAAGATGATTTTATAATGCAAGAAGTATAAATATACAAATATTGACATTAGTTTGTTGGAAAAGACTATATATACAATATATTAAAATTACTTTATATATTTGCAAAAAGGATTTTTTCTTAATATGTAATAGAATAATAAAATAATATAAAATTCAAAATAAACAAAAAAATATACTGTATATGACTTAAATATGAAAAATATATACTGAACATGAACCTTGTCATCATAATCTTTTTTTCTAGTAGTCGTGGTACTGCTCGGACTGCAGTAATTACGTTGAAGTTACTGGTCCTGTAAGTGTATTTCTTTTCAACATCTTGAGAACCCGAATGTGCGAGTTTTAAAAATTAAAGGGTAATTTGCAGAAAGAATTCATGATGATACTTCTTAAAATTAACTAGTTACTGTATCTAAAAATTCGCGCGTGTTTTTACACAGTCATTATTACTGTATTTGGCGCAGAGATTAAGGTAGCGATTTTCTTTTGGCACAGAAATCATCCACTTTCTACTGCTTGATGGTCTCGACTTATCGAATCCATATCATATATCAGGACCAATGTAAAAAAAAAATAATATCATTTTTATTCCAACCGTTGATGTCTTTGTCAAGTGACGTAAATATAAAGTTATACTCAATATTTAACATAGCTGTTGATCACATAACTCTTCGGACTTGTTCTATAATTCCTACGAATATTCCAGCTTAGGGGGCTTGTAATTACATAAAATATTTACATAGTGTGCCAGTGAATGTTTTTGCTATAGGCTTTTCTTTAATTATGATCGCACAAATGCACTATGTTTACTGTATCAATGATAACTATCATTGCTAGTAAATAATCAAGGTTAAATTACATCACTCTTTGTTATTCTTTTTAAAACTTTTCTTGAGAAAAATTGTAAGTTCCGTTTGAAAAATCCATGAATCTATTGAAAACAAATTTTGTATAATTATAAAACATTGATTTATTACAGTATTTGGTAACTCAAATTTGGAATAATATTGTGAATATCAATAAGCTTACGGCTTGATTTTCAATTGACACAGGTGATGCAGACAACGTTTTGTTTTGAAGATAATTCAAGGTCTCCGTACGAATCAGAAAATTGCTTCCTGTATAAAAACATCCAACCGGAGAAATGACGATTGGTAAGATGATAAACAAGTGTTTTGATGAGATTTTTTGTGGAGATAAGATTATTGCTATCAGAAACGGATAAAAATGGTCTGTAGATCCCTGGGGTCTTGCAGAAATGATTTCTTGTTACACGTTTTACAAGAAAAAATCACACGGACAATTGTAACATTTCGAAATTATATCCATATTAGGAACATTCCCCGTCCAGTGAATGAAAGGTCATGGCTACAACTCTATAAAATATCCTGTTAGATGGATGAGCAGCATAAGTCTGTAGATGAATTAATAAGTACTGAACTGGTTAAAGAGGAAAAAAAAATAGAGAGAGAAATACAGTATAGGCTCCCTGGTCAAAAGTTTAGAACTTCTCCAATAATTATACAGTATAAAGTAACTTTCTAAAAAAAATTAAGCCACAAATTTCGTACTACCTGAGTCAACATTAGTAATTATATTTTTTGTAAAAGAATTATTAGTTTTTATAAAGTTGATAATTTGAAAAATAATTACAAAAAAACAGAATATAATAAGATTACAATTCATAAAATTATTATAAATTTTCATAAGTTTAATATTATTTTTATTATATTAAAAAGGATTATTTATTATTTTGTTTTTTAAATAAAAATACTAGTAGTATGTATGTTTCGTTAAATTATTTATATCTAATTATATAACTACAATATTTATTTTAAATTGACTTGTTTTTTTATTTATACTTTTATCCAATTATATAATTTTATTTATTTTGAAAATGAACTTATATATCAGATAAAAATTTTAGAAAATGAAAATATTACCACTAGTTTATAATTCATATTTATTCAAAAGATAGCAAAGTTTAAGAAATAGCATGAGAAATTGAATAAAAGTTATAATAAAATCACATGACTACTTTACCAAATATCAAATATTTTATTGATGACACCCGATAAAATATATTTACAGTACATGTAAAACATCATATCATATTAACACATAAAATATACGTAGAAATATATATTGATGTTATTTAATAAAAATTCAAATATCATACAAGTTGTTAAAAAAAATTTATATAAGAAAAAAAGTTTTTTTTTTGAAAAATCTTGAATAATTATAATATATTTAAATATAAAGTATATGGTTACTTATATTATAATTTTAATATTATAAATATTAATTGAATTAAAATTATTCAAATTTTATTAGGTGATCCAAAACTTTTGTATAAGTCACAGAGTCATATCGTTATCAATCCCAACAAAAGAAATGGTTCGTCATAAAGTATATTTTGTATATTACAAATATCGAACATTTGCAAGTAAAATCTAGAATTTCCTTGTTATAAGATTAAATGTACAAGTAATCAAAGTCCCCTTCGCTCCAAAAGCTAATGTCCGCCAACAATTTAAAAGCTCGCATGGAATTCTTTAATAAAACAAATTTTTGATTAACTGCTATTCGGCTAATTAAGAGGGTTTAATAATTTATTAAATTTTGCCAGTTTACTCAAACTTGTAAAAATTGATAATTCAAGATGTTTGATCAAGTATTGATACGAAGTAGATGTATATAATTTTGTAAATATGATGGACAATTTAAATGTACATAGCACAGTTTTTCTTGATTGCCAGTCTTTGTTTCTCACGTACCTCTTTTGCGCGCGGTTCTGTAGATGTCGGCACGCTCTAACGGCGTGTTTTCTATTCAACATTTTTCTCACGGATGGGAGCGGGCATTGGTCTGCAAGGACTATGGTCTCATAGTGTCCATCTTAATCCCATATCAAAAAAGGATAACACCTTTTATGAGAAGTACACGGGAAACATTAATCAATACCTTATCGAAACTGACCTTGAATTATAATTTGATAGATGTGACTCCCATAATTAAGAATTCTAAAAGACATCGATTTTATGTTAGCACGAACCAAAGAATGATGAAAAGAATTCAATTAGTGATGTATAGATATGATTATGATATACTGTAACTATATTAAAATAACGAAATAGAAAATTTTCAAACCTTATGTTAATTTGCAAATGATCGACACGAGAGACCTGAAGTAGATAGCGGTTGATATAGAGAATTCGGAGAAATTACTCAGTCAGTATTGTATATACAAAAATTCCCAAAAAGGCTTGTTCTATAGAAAGCCAAAAATGATAATAATCAAATCTTCTTATTAGATGGAGGCCGATAAAAAAAAACAATAGCTTTTTTTTTATTATTATTGGATTTGTGTGGTACAATCAATCACCCATAAAAAGTAATACGAATATCAGCGGGGTGACTGCGCACGAAGCACAGACCACACGGTTCCGAGAAAAAAAAAAGTAAAGCTCAAGAATGATCACTCAAAAGACATCATAATTTCATATAACAGAAATTCACTTCATTTGAGCTCAAGAAAGGATCACACATTAATGTTATTCAATTAGAGAACGATTAACGAGCTTCATGGTCTCGAAATGGGACATTTAGGTTATCTTTTATGGCATATTGTTCATTATCTTATCTATATGTTTGTATGAAATTTGTGCGACACTTGGAATTTGATTTTCCATTCTCCCTTGATGAGATTTCATATTTCTTTCTTTAACCATTTATCTCATCACTTACTTGTCTGCTAAATATTTACACTACAGATATCGTTTCACGACTTTTTTCAAAGAGATAATTTCCATTTCAGATGATCATCGATACACGTAATTTTATTCATATGCATGTGACAATTAATAGTTTGAAGTTTGCCGGTTTTTATTTGCCAATTTAATAGTTATCATTTAAAGGTTAAAAATTTTTATAATATAGAAATCTATAATCGGGTCCCCAGTGGGCTTTTCATAAAAAGGTAGCTTTCTGCGGCCACGCTTTTTTGTCGTCGAAGAAAAGGTACAACATTTCTTCTCGTGGCATCTCTTGCAACAACCTAGGTGGATGTCATAGTCACAACGTTTTCTTGCGGATCGGCAACTGTCGCATGCTCTGGTCGCGTGTTTTCTCGACATTTTTATCAGGGATAGAAGTATGGATTTTTCTGTGACGATGTTTCCCGTAATATCACTCTTAATTCTATATCAAAAAAAAGGTGAGATCCTTTTATGAAAGGAAAAAAACACGAGAAACTTAATAATGATACCTTATTGAAGGAGGGTCTTGAACTCTTCTTAGATAATGCGATTGGATTTAATCCATAACCACAAGAAATGAACTGAAATAACCAGGTATATATATAAGAATTACTGGGTGGTCGCACAGGTAAAGTAAGAATTCAACTTCCTTAACATCTTTGTCTTGTATCTAATACACGTCATCAACGTCCAATCACCTAACTTTGATTGAAACGTTTATGAATAGAAATGTATGATATTTCTCCGTCTCTTTGACATGACATGATATGATTATTGGAAATTGTTTGTAATACATGGAATTCTAATTAATGATAACGCGAAGAACATATTATACTGTATATGAAACTTTACCGAATCAGCTTATAAATGCGTGATCCCGCAGTGCAACACATTAAAATACAATACTCGCGTATTTTCTTGTGTCACAATTTTATGTACTATATTTTTATACTGAATTTCTAGTAAATTTTTCGATGGTTTGGTGACATGCACCCACAAGTTCACTTGAGATTGCTCATACAGTACAATTTTAATTATTATCAACACTCATATACGTTACACCACACTCCAGCAATTCAATTAATTTAATTACTCAGCGCATATTACAGTCATTGTTTACAATTTTTAATAATAAGCTTTGGTTATATTGCACACTTCATATACGCTGTACATAGAATTTATACAAAGCCTTTATTGGGCGTATTTGTTTTTTTATTTATATGCTAAAATCGTGATCGTCGGAATAAAGGTCAAATTCGGTCAACTATTCTTATCTTATCTATGTACTGTATTTGTAGCCTAACAAAGAAAACAAATTTAATTACGTGATTTTTTACTGAGTTGATTGATCAAAAAAAATTTTTTTGCGATTGTATTCTTTTTAAAGAAAAAATTTTTTTATTAATTTTAATGTGATCCCTTTAATATAGCGGCAACCGAAATTTTTAAATCAATTAATATTTTTAATCTTTAAAAAAGGTAGTAAGATCATAAATATATTGGCATCTTTTGTTTTTTCAAATAATCATGGTTTTATATCTGAGCACGTGATGAGAAGTCACGTTACGCGGTCAACGGTTCAATTATTTTTCCAGCAAAAAAATATCCGAAAAAGCCATATTTCGCATATACAGTATGTTTACATGACACAATGCAAAAGGATAAGATAAGATAAGATGAATTCAAGTCCAACACCAGATAATCTCAACTGCCATTTTTGAAATCTGGTTTGGCTTGTCTCAAAGGTATTAATATCTTTGTTTTTTTACTTGTTGGTAAATCGCATTCCCTATGCAATACTCTAACATATGTCTTCAATCATTTATTGCATCAATTGATTTTACAAAAAATCCAGTTGTAATTCGACCGACTATGTATGGTCGTCGGAACAAATCGAATACTTTGTTCCGATCATTGACCGTCATGATGGTACATATTATGAAACACAAAATCGTTTTACAATTTTTTCCAAAATCTCGATCCTTTGTTCACGACGAACTAAATCGAAATCAAAATTCCGGGAAGGGAACGGAAGACAAACTCCTTACAATAGACAGATTGCTTTTAAGATAATTGCCAATTAAAGTTAAAAAATCTTGCAATAGCAAATTTATATTTCCATAAGTCGGTCATATGATCCCTGGTGAGCTTTCCGTAAAAAAGTATCTCTCTGCGGCCCCGCTTTTTAGTCGCCAAAGAAAAGGCACAATCTTTCATCATGTAACACCTTGCAACAGTCTTTAAGGCTTACACCTTTTACATGCGGCTTTGTAGCCGTCAGACGGTCTGGTAACATTTTTATCACAGATAAAGATAGTTATTTGTTTGCGAGGACGATGGTCATTCTTTTTTACTCCTATGTCAAAAAAGAGATTAATATACAGTAAATGACGTTTCTTTATTAAAGGAAAGGACACGAGAACCTTTAATGGTACCTTATTGATGACCGGCCTTAAACCCTTTTAGGTAATGCATTTGTGAAATCCGCAACCGCAAGAGACGATCTGAAAGTAACTAGGTGCATATATACAGTAAACAGTTACTGGGAGGTCGCACGGGCAAGTTAGGAACCTATTCGCCTAACTGATGTCTTCATCAACGTGTATCTAATATACGTCGTTCACATCCAATCACCTAACTTTGATTTGAAATATATATGCACATATTAATAGGGATTATGGGATGGTCAGAGTTTTCTACCTTAACAGGTTATGTACTGAAATTTCTTGCGAAGAATGATTGACAGTCGTATCGTATAGTAACAATTTTGAATCGTGTGATTAGTACAAATCAAGGATGATATATCTAACTGAATACAGCATTGTCAAAGTCCTAATATTTCGCCTTTTTTTGTGACAATAAATTATTAAGCTATTAATATTATCCTAATTACTGTCAATACTTTATAAAATATATGGTATATCATATTATCAGTTAATTATTTTTATAGTATTTTATAGTATTTTTATTTTTCTAATACAAAGCGTCATAACTCAAAATTGCTATTACAAATATCATAGCAAAAAGAGCTTGGAAACAATTAATCGAAATCAATTCTCCTGATTTAATTTATTAGGGTTGTAAAAAGCCCTTGAAACTTTTATTGATAATGGGGCACAAATAAAAAATGTATGTACGAAAAAAAAGTAATTATCTAACAAAAAGTTCAATTTGAATATTAATATTATCTTATTTTAATTCCACTAGTCCAAATTATATTGGTCAGCTGTCAGATTACAGTCAATTCAATACAAATTTCCAGTTAATAAAAGTATATGCAAGCATTTTGCTATTTAATTCAATTTATGCCATTGACATTTAAAAAATATATAAGAATTTGACAATACAAAGATAACATTTGGCAATAAAAAAAAACTAATATTTGACAATAAAAAAATTTAATGTTTGACAATAAAAGTGTATAATATTTGGAATTTGAAATAATGACAATTGACATTTTTTTATCCATAACCATTTGATTTAAACATTTGATTCATATATTTTGATAAAATTAAAAATTCCAATTTTGCAAAAATTTAATTTATTAACTAAAAAAATTAAACCAATTATTAATAAAGCTCTCTTTATTATGTACTGTATTTTAAATCCATTGATCTTACAGTTTTCAAATATTGATAAATAATTTAATTTCTTAAATATAACTTTAACCTTTTAATTAATTTTATCTCTAAAAAAATAAATTATTAATTTTTTTCTCTCAAATATAAGAAAATCAAAAATAAAATTTTTCTTCTTTTAATTCTATTAGTGAATATTCTAATTTCAATAAAAATAAAACTTTCAAAAGCTATTTTAATTATTTTACCCAAATATAAATTTGAAATAATTAATAATCTTAAAGTATATTATAATTTTAACTAACTTTTCAACTTATTCTTTATATAAAAATCAATAATTTTAGATGATTTATTAAACTTTAAACCCAAAAATAAATTTTTTTTCTCTCTTATTAAATGAAATAACTTTAGAAATTTCAGAAATATCAATAACAAATTAAGAAATCATTACTATATTTTTTTTCAAATTGTTAAAGTTATACTTAAAAAATTTTCTTATCAAAATAATTATATACTTTTTCTATATAGATTTACTTTCTGAAATTAAATATTAATTTCTAGTAAAAAATAAATTAAACAAGATAAACTTAAACCCATTTTATTTAAATAAACAAAAAGATCTACTAGTTAAAAACAAACCAATTTATATTAAACTCTATTACAAAGCTATTAAATTTTTAATACCTTTTTCTCAAAAA